ACCAGAGGCTAGGAATAGTAGCGATGGGTTGGGAGGGGGAGGTGGGGATGGTTAATAGGTACAAAAAAAATTGAAAGAATGAGTAAGATCTAGTATTTGACAGCACAACAGGATGATTATAGTCAATAATAACTTAATTGTACAATTCAAAATAACTTAAAAAGTATAACTGGATTGTTTATAACTCAAAGGATAAATGCTTGAGAGAATAAATACTCCATTCTCCATGATGTGCTTATTTCACACTGCATGCCTTTACCAAAACACCTCATGTACCCCATAAATATATACACCTACTATGTGTCCACAAAAATTAAAATTAAAAAAATTTAAAGAAACAAAGAAGGTGATTATATAATAAAAGGTCAATTCAGCAAGAAACTATGATAATTGTAAATATATGCACTCAACATCAAAGTACCTATATATAAAGCAGATATTAATAGATCTGAAGAGACACATTCTGCAATACAAAAATAGTAAGAGATTTCAACAACCCACTTTCAGCAGTGGACAGATCATCCAGACAGAATTATCAATAAAGGAACATCAGACTTAAAGTACACTCTAGGCTAAATAATATATGAGACATTCCGTCTAACAACTGCACAATATACATTCTCCTCAACTGTATATGAAACATTCTCTAGAACAGATCATATGTTAGGCCACAAAACAAGTCTTAACAAATTTAAGAAGACTGAAATAGAATCAAGTATCTTTTTCAACCACAATAGTATAAAACTACAAATTAATAACAGAAAAAACTTTGGAAAATTCACAAATAATGGAAATTAAACAACATGCTCCTGAACACCAAGGAGACATTTCAACTGATACAACAGAAATACAAAGAATCATAAAATACTGTTATAGTTAATTATATTCAGTTAAACAACCTAAAAGGCATGAATAATTCCTTGACACATACAACATACCAAGATTAAATTATCAAGAAATAGAAAATCTGACCCAACCAATAATGAGTAATAACACTGAATCAATAATAAACAGTCTCCCAACAAAAAAAGAAAATCCAGGACCTGATGGCTCCATTGCTGAATTCTACCAAAGACTGAAAGATGAATTAATACCAACTGTTCTCAAACTTTTCCAAAAAATTCAAGAGAACAGAGTAATTCCAATCTCATTTTGTGAGGCCAGCATTACACTAATACCAAAGCCAGACACAGACAAGGACACTACAAAAACGGAAAACTACAGGCAAATATTTCTGAAGAACACAGATGCAAAAACCCTCAGCGGAACACTAGAAAACCAAACTCAACAGCACATTAAAAAGATTATTCATCATGATCAAGTGGGATTCATCCAGGAGATGCAAGAATGAGTTAACATATGCAAATGTGTAAATGTAATGTATCACATGAACAGTATGAAGGACAAAAATCATATGATAATTTCAACTGATACGGAAGAAACGTTTGACATTATTCAACATCCTTTCACAGGAAAAACTCTCAACACATTAAGTATAGAAGGGATGTACCTCAATAAAATAAGGCCATATATGACAAACCCACAGTTAACATTATACTCAATGGGGAAAGGTTAAAACTTTTCCTCTAAGATTCAGAACAAGACAAGGATGCCTACTCTTGCCGCTACTACTCAAAATAGTACTGAGCCCTGACCAAAGCAATTAGGAAGAGAAAGAAATAAAAGGTATACAAACTGGAGAAGAAATCAAATTGTCCTGGTTTGCAGATGACATGATCTTATTTATAGCAAACCCTAAAGACTCCATAAAAAAACTGTTAGCATTAATACATAAATTCAGTAAAGTTGCAGGATACAAAAATCAATAGCATTCCTACAGAGTAACAGCAAACTATCTGAAAACTAATTTTTAAAATCCCATTTACAATAGCTACAAAAGATAAATACTTAGAAATAAATTTAACCCATGAGGTGAAAGATCTCTCCACTGAAAACTATAAAATATCGATGACAGAAATTTAAGATACAAGTAAATGGAGTGATATACTGTGTACATGAATTGGAAGAATTAATATGTTTAAAATGTCTATACTACTCAAAGCAATCTACAGATCACAATGCAATCCCTAACAAAATTCCAAAGACATTCTTCATAGTAATAGAAAAAAAAAAATCCTAAATTTTCATACAGAGCCAAAAGGATCCCAAATAGGTGAAGCAATCTTGAGCAAAAAGAACAAAGCTGGAAGCATTACACTATCTGACTTCAAAATCTACTGCAATGCTAAAGTAACCAAAACAACATGAGATCAGCATGAAAAATAGGCATATAGACCAATGGGATAAACAGAACAGAAATAATTCCATGTGTTTAGAGCCAACTGACATTCAACAAAGGTGCCAAGACCATACAATGGGGAAAGAACAGTCTCTTCAAATAAATGGTTTTGGAAAAACTGGATATCCACAACATGCAGAAGAATGAAATTAGAGATTAGATTTTTATCTCACACCACCATACATAAAAATAAACTAAAAATGGATTAAAGACTTAAACTACTAGAAGAAAACAAAGGGGACCAGCTCCATGACACTGGTTTGGGCAATGGTTTTTTGGATACAACCCCAAAAGCATAAGCAACAAAAGCAAAAATAGATAAATGGGATTACGTCAAACTAAAAAACATGTGCAAAACAAAAGAAACAATCAACAGTATGAAAGGGCAACCTACAGAATGGGAGAAAATATTTACAAATCACATATCTTATAACAGATATGCAATATATGTATATGTGTATATATGTATAGATATGTATATTGCCTGTATACATATATACATACATACATATATACATATATATATGTGAAATTCACACAACTCAATAGCAAAAAAAAAAAAAAATTCTCTAAAGGGACAGGGGACCTAAAAGACATTTCTCAAAAGAAGACATGCAAATGACTAACAGGTGTATGTAAAGGTACTCAACATCACTAATCATAAGGGAAATGGAAATCACAACCACAATGAGGTATCATCTCACACCTGTTAAAATGGCTATTATCAAAAAGCAAAAATAAGTGTTCCCAAGGATGTGGAGAAAAGGGAACCCCTGAACACTATTGGTAGAAATACAAATTGGTACAGCCATTATGAAAAACAGTATGGTGGTTCCTCAAAAAATTAAAAATTAAAAATAGCAATCCTACTACTGCATATATATCCAAAGGAAATAAAACCAGTATGTCAAAGAGACAGATGCACTCCCATGTGCACTGCAGCATTATTCACAATAGCCCAAATACGGAATCAACCAGTGTCCATTGAAAGATAAATGGATAAACAAAATGTGCTTTATCTAAATAATTATTATTCAGTCATAAAAAAGAATGAAATACTGGCACCTGCTACATCACGTATCAATGTAGATGAAACAAAATGCTCAAAAAACATTATGCTAAGTGAAAGAAGCCAGACACAAAAAGTCACATTTTGTATGATTCCATTTATATGAATTATGCAAAATAGGTAAAGCCACAGAGATAGAAAGCAGATTAGTGGCTGCCGGGGGAAGGGAAAGGGGAGAACAGGGAGTGACTGCTTAATGGGTATAATATTTCCTCTTGGATGACGAAAATGTTTAAGAACTAGATAGAGGTGATGACTGCCCAAAATTGTGAATGTACTAAAATGCCACTGAATTGTCCATGTTTAAATAGTTAATTTCATGTTATGTGAATTTTAACCTTAGTTTTAAAAGTGAATTGTTTTTACGTTTTAATCAACTGGCTAACTTGACAGAATAATGCCATAGTTACAAGTACAAATCTTAAAGTCAGATAGCCTGGACTGAGATCTCAGCTTTGCCACTTTGAACTGAGTGAGCTTAGCAAGTAATTATGCTCTCTCTGTCTCAGTTTCTCATCCTTAAAACCAAGTTAATAAGAGTATTCACAGGATTGTAAGACTCAAATAAGGTAACATATTTGTAATACCTGGAATGTTCTTAGAATATAGTAAGCACTAAATAAATAATAGCTAAAAATAATTATGTTTATGACAATCAAAGAAAAAAATAGTTTCATACAGAAGAAAGACTGAGAATTCTAAGATGCTTTTTTCAACGGTAATAAAAATCAAGAAATTTACTATTAATAAACCATACCCTAGAAGCACATGATACAAGGTCTTAAAGTAAACATCTGTCATTTAGTTCTAGTTTCTATAAAAAGAGTATTGAGCACAGAGCCAAATGATGTGTGCCTTTTGTGAGGTCAGTTATCTCTCAGCAGCAACCAAGTAGCAAATAGAGCAGATACCCCACTATTTCCAAAAAAAGTAGTGGTAAGGGGTGCAGCAACAACAAAAAACAAGAACTGAATAATGTCAAATGAGAAATAGGACATGACGTAACAAACATAAAAATTCTAAAATCACATGAGATCATTTGAAACTTCTCATTAGACACTTCAAAAATAATTGAGACCAGGTGCAGTGGCTCATGCCTGTAATTCCAGAACTTTGGGAGGCTGAGGTGGGCAGATTACTTGAGGTCAGGAGTTCGAGACAAGCCCGGCCAACACGGCGAAACCCTGTCTCTACTAAAAATACAAAAAAATTAGCCAAGCGTGGTGGCACACACCTGTATCCAGCTACTCAAGAGGCTGAGGCAGGAGAATTGTTTGAACCCGGGAGGCAGAGGTTGCAGTGAGCCAAGGTTTTCCACTGCACTCCAACCTGGGTGACAGGGGAGACTTCATCTCAAAAAAATACAAAATAAAAATAATTGAAATAAAATAGAAAACAACAACAGCCAAGTGATGCTGTCAAATTTAAATAGTTGCATAAGTGGCACTGGGGACTATGCAACTTAGGAACCAAATGAACCAAATTCTTTTCTGCATCTTGTAGAATCTAGCCTAAGGGTAACAGAGGTTAGGAATAACCTCCACTTCTCCCCGCAACACACACACCTCCTTTGAAGATTGTAAGTAAAGCAGCTATACAGACAGAAGAAACTGAGTAAGTCCAACTTCTTACCCTCTTCTGCTTCATCATCCTGGGGTGACATTGGACCCCCTCCACTAGTAGGAGTGACTGGTTCCTCCTTGTCAGACTCTCGCTGTAGACTCACCACCTCATATATTGCATCTCCAGCATTGGTGTGGCCTTTTCCCTCAGACTGAGAAAAATATAACAGTATATTTAAGTATTAGAAATTTGAAGGAAACACTGGCAGATAGTATTGAAAGATATTATTTTAAATAGTTCATTCAAAAGAGCTGCAGTGAAGAATGGCATGTTGTGTTTGATCTCCAGCATGTCTGAGATTCTGAAAACTTTTAAGGTGCATTGTCCTTCACAGGATATTCTAAATTTATGTTCCTCTAGTATTATTTTTAACTAATACAATGAAACCTACTCGTTATTTTTGGAGAGCTCAATTTCTTTTCATCAGAAAAACCTGAGACACCACAGGTTCTAGGACAGACAGATAAGCAAGTGATGCTAGACTCTTAACTGGCTACGTTACACAAAACTAAAGTATATAGCTCAAAGAATTTTTACAACTGTATACAGTTGGGCAACCACACCCATACCAATATGCCTTCCTGTATTATACCCATCCCTGATAGGTAGCCACAGATATAGTTGTTATATTTTTTGTTAAAGATATATTTGTTATATGTATAAAAATATATATGTGGGTTACATATAAAAGTATGGATTTAATTTGCTAATCAAATTATAAATTATATATATTAGCAAATCAAATCCAGTTTTATACATATACATAAAACAATTTCAAATAAATATTTATTCAAATATATTTCAAATCAAATACATACAAATCAAATTACAAATTTTATACATACATACATACAAAATACATCACAACCAATAGGATTTAGTTGGGGAATGCCAAGCTGGTTCAACACTGGAAAAATCAATCAGCATAATCTACTATAGTAATAGACTAAAGAAGAAAGACCATATGTTCATGTCAATTAATGTCATATCAAAATAAAGGGCATTTGAGAAAATTCAGCATTCATTCATGTCAAAACTGTTTAGTAAACAAGTAATACAAGGATGCTTCCTCAACCTGATAAAGAGTATCTAAGAAAAATATACAAGTAACACTACGTTTAAAGGTGAAAGGCTGAATAATTTCCCCCTGAGATGGAGGAAAAAGGAAGAATGTCCACTGTCACCACTCTCATTCAACAGCCCATGGAAGTCCTGTCCAGTGCATTACAGCAAGAAAAAGTATACAGATTGGAAAAAAAACTGTTCTTATTTACAAACAATGTAACTGTCTTTCTCAGAAGTTGACAAACGTTTTGTATAAACAATTCAACTCTGCTGTTGTAGTACAAAATTCTACAATACTGGAAAATATTTCATCTGCACTTAAGTTTCCTATACAAGCAGAATCTGAACTACTTTGATCTCATATAGAATCTAAATATTGCACCTAAAAACTGAGTTTCAAATAAAGTATATTTTTATTTAAAAACACTATTTGTTCCCAATATTCACATATTTTAGATAACTAAAAAATCAATCTGTATTTGTAAAGAAAATTGTCTGATTCATATTAGCATTCATTACAGCTTAGCAACATGTAAACAGGAGCTCAATAAATGTGGGTTGGCTAAGTTACATTACAAAGATTCATCGCATTTATGCAAATAAACTCTAAAACCTTTTTCAATATGGCATGCCATCATCAACTATTAAATACAAAGTACAATATGCTGATATCTCTAAAAATTCTCTAAAGTTACAAGTCTCAACAGTGGCTGTAAATGAGGAAACCAGATCTGAGGCTTTTTATATTTCAAACACTAATGCTTAATCCTTAGGGCAGGATTTAGGAATCTGGATTTTTTTTTTAAGGGTCACAAGTTATTCTGATGCAAAGCTGAATTGAGAACTATTGCCTACAAGACCTGTTATTTTCAAAAAGAATGTCTACATAAAACACATAACAGAATCAAATATTCTCAGTAAGCTACAGATACATAAAATCACATGAAAAAAATACATTTCCAAGCAGCTTCTATTTACCTCTGCTGAGGTGACAGTAAAGATGCCAAAGGTAATCAGAAGCACTAAGCTAAAAAAAAAAAAAAGTCCCCAACAGATTATTTTCTCACAACTTTAGAAGTACCCCACAACCTTGTTAATTTTCACCTTTCTGCAATTAGAATAGTTATTAATCAGTTACTTTTGGTTATTTACTGACTGATCATACTTTGATTTAAATAAGTTGAAACCAACATGCATCTTCAAATGGGAATTTTCCTTTTATGCTTTTTAACTCTAATAGTTGATTAAAAGTTTTGTCTCCAACTAAAAGGAATGTCAAGGCACTCAAAAGTAAAGAAGAGATTTGGAGGAGAGGGCAAGAAAACATTTGATATTTTAATATCAAACCCACACTTAGCACAGATCAAAAAAGTAGCTTACTTCCTTTATTGAAAGTCAAGTCATAGAAACTTCTGAGAACAGCTAAACTCCTGTCCTGACCTGGAGCCTATCCTTTTCTTATAGGCAAGCCTCTTCCCTCCAAACTATCTCTTGTCTGAAAACAAAAAACAGTAAGTTGGCATGTGGAAAACAGATTTGTCAAGAGAAAAGTTTCTGTTCCCCCTTAACTCTTCATTCAAGTACCATTTCATGTCTTTTTACCATTATAGCTCCTCTCAATTCATTCTAACTTTCCTTCCTCTAATTTCTTGAGACCTCTCTCTTTTCTGAATCCAAATTGTGTCCCAAACCAGACACAAAAAGCAAGTATTTAGAAAAATGCTCAGCACACAGAAAGTGCTACACAAGTGTTATTTCTTGTTATCGTTTTGTGCTGTTGATGTAACACTATGAGGCATGAGAGAGTCTAACCTATAGTACAATACACAAGTAATATTCAGGAATAATGAACCAGCAAAAGTGGCTTCGTGTCCTAGTCTAGCACTACTCTGGAAATCCTGCAAAAATAATTACTATGGTAATAACAATAAGGATAGCAAGAATTCAATCCTAACAACAATCCAAGTTTGTCCATATCTTAGAACTTTTTCATTAGTTGTTCCTTTGAAAGGTCTTTCCCTGGATCTTTATATTGACAGTGGCAGGAGGCAGACAAATCCTAAGCAGAGAGGGGCAGGTCCCCAGTGGAACCCCACCTTCAATCCAAAAGACAGTTTAAAGCCTGAAAGCCAAGCTACAAGTCAAATCCGCAAACCGGACTGAGAATGGCTTCCCATTTGGCACACTTTCCTCTGATTGATCCCCAGCCTTCACCTATTTTATATATACCTATCCTTCCCTAATTGACTTTTTACACTGTTGTGCCCAACTTTGAGTAGTGCTTTTGTTTTAATCTTTTTGCATACTCACAAATCAATCAGCATACACGCCCCAATCTGAGCCCATAAAAGCCCCAGACCCAGCCACAATGGGACAGAAGCCACATGACTTTGGGTAGGGGACCACCCTTGCGTCCCCTCTCTGCTGAGATCTGTTTCGTTGCTCAATTAAATTCTCCACCTTCCTCACTCTTCTATTCTCAGCGTGATCCTATTCTTCTTGGACGTGGGACAAGAACTCAGGACCCACTGAAAGTGGGTACACAGAAGGCTGTAACATTGTGGCCCTCTGCCCTCTGCTGGCAGAGGGCAGCTGCCCCACACAACGGAAAGCAGCAGTGGGGCTGAGCCAGGCCTGCAGCCACAGGCCAAAGTGGGGCAAGGGTCTGAAAGAGCTGTTAACACATCACCATCCATTCCAGATGATGGCATGTTAACAGCTCTTTCAGCCCCTTGAGCTAATTAACACGCTGTAACACTCCCTCAGGGGCTTCGGAGTCATGGCACCCCTGCCTGGGTGCCACCACATTCCCCCATCTGGGCATCAGAGACCATCACAGGAGGGGTTTGAGAAACGCCTAGTCCAGCAACAAGCACTGCACAAAGCCTGCTTCTGTGCTGGCACTTGGAACAACTGGTCAGACCACATACTTGCTCGCTCACACCCCACCTCCAACCAGGGGTTGAACACACAGTCGCAATGACCATGGGATCCATGACAAACTGCAGGCCAGGCATGAACTGGCAGGCCAAGTGGATGGGGCATCTCCTGTGGTGAAACCAGGCCCAGCAAGGCCCAGACAGGGGCGTTATCAGCCAGAGGTCTCCGACTGGCAAAGTGACCAAGAAAAATCCTGCATCACTATGGTGAGTTCCTTCTTGTCATTCAGTTCTCAGACATTCATTCATTCATTCATTCATTCATTCATTCATTGGAGATGGAGTCTCGCTCTGTCGCCCAGGCTGGAGTGCAGTGGTGCCATCTTGGCTCACTGCAACCTCTTCCTCCCAGGTTCAAGCAATTCTCTGCCTCAACCTCCCGAGTAGCTGGGATTACAGGCGCCCAGCACCATGCCCAGCTAATTTTTGTATTTTTAGTAGAGATAGGGTTTCACCTACCTTGGCCTCCCAAAGTGCTAGGAATACAGGCATAAGCCACCAGGCCTGGCTTCAAGTGTTTTAAAGCTTGAACATTTCACAGCCTTCCCAAAATCAAACTTCAGTTGCAAAACCGTGTTCCTTGGCACTTTGCTTTTTTTTTTTTTTTGAGGCAGAGTTTCGCTCTTGTTGCCCAGGCTAGAGTGCAATGGTGCAATCTCGGCTCACCGCAACCTCTGCCCACCAAGTTCGAGGGATTCTCCTGCCTCAGCCTCCCAAGTAGCTGGCATTACAGGCATGCGCCACCACAACCTGCTAATTTTGTATTTTTAGTAGAGACGGGGTTTCTCCAGGTTGGCCAGGCTGGTCTTGAACTCCTGACCTCAGGCAATCCACCGGCCTTGGCCTCCCAAAGTGCTAGGATTACAGGCATGAGCCACTATTCCCAGCCACCACTTGGCTTTTCAAATACTTCAGGGGGCCCTGAAGTGTCCAGCAAAAGAGAGGTAAACAGGATTATTTGACATGTTTAGGTACATGAGATTGCCAAAATGATGTTCAATCTTCTTTAGGTTATATTTTTGTGAATAATGCTAATATAAGTTCAAAAATCACATGGATTTCTAAAATTCTAATGTCTAAGTATATGCTGTCAACCATAATTAATGTTATCATAAACCACAGAAATAACCACACTTCTTTGTTAATT